GTCCCCCGCCGCTAAAGAATGGAATATCTATATTTACTACTTTTCATGAAACATTATTAACGTTGGTCACATACAAGATGCCTGAAATGACTGGTGTCTGCATAATCACCCAATGTAGGCTGTCAACATACTTGAAACATTGAGACAGTGTAATGTTTTAGAGATATCCGCTTTAAAAAGCGGTCAGAATCGTGGTGACTTTGAAGATAGAGGTCATAGGTCAAATAAACTAGGTAACTTCGTGACATTTGCGTAATACCCCCAATGTACTCCGTCTCGAAACACGCAAATTTGAAGACATTGAAATACACCAGAATTTCATGAGATATCGCGTGAACAAGAGTTGGAAAAGTGGTCAGTCTTACAGAATTTAAAACCTAATTACAAAAATTATGGCTCTTGTTTTGTTTTGTCGTTCACTGCCGCCTCAGGCTCGGACCTTGAAAATAAAGGTCGAAGGTCACGCAAATCGACTGTTGCTCTTGTCGATATCAGCGTGAAAATCCCTACAATGTAGGCTGTCACCAAATTTGAAGACATTGGATACCAACAGTTCATGATTTATCTTGTGTACAAGAATAGTTGGGACGATTATATCATCAAGACACAACGGACAAATTTTCTGAATACATAGTCCCCGTTCTCGCGCTGTGGCAGGGGACAATAACAAATCACATATCTATTTGATATTGACGTAAAAGATGATATTAGCTAATGACATCACAATATGTCCTTGAATGTACGGTGTTACAATGAAGAATCGATAAAAACTATTCTATAAATGTAAGTACTTTTCATAGAAACATCTATGACATAATTAAAGTTGAATAAATTATGACAACCCAGGACAAGATTCGGATAATCTGTTTTATTAATCAACTCACAATGAATCAAAACTGAGTATGGACAGAGTGAGGTGTGGTGAAATGTGCACTGAACCATTTTAATGTCGCTGGGAGTTCTTAAGACTATTTTGCTCATATGACGATGACCATGCATTTGTGTGTGTGGCTTCTTGTACTTGCTAAGACTTAAGCTGGTTTTATAGTTCTTATATACCACTAACATACCAGTCACAGTATCCTGACTCCGATCCGACCACTCCTTGTTGTACCCATAATGCCGAGCGCCAGGCAGGGACCAACAAGTACCATATTTTAACGTCTTGCGGTATGACGCGGCCATGGATCGAACCCCCGACCTTCCGCTCTCCGGGCGGACGCTCTAACCACTACACCACGGAGGCGGTCGTATGGAGAGAATATGTGAAAGGAGTATGCACATACAATCCGAAGTCGGAATCCAACTTACAAAAGATTGGGAGTCATCACACCATTAGGCACAAACCGTCAGACGTTGTTCTAAGCCTGGATCCAGTGATGTACATATATTTGTTAACCCCACCCAGTGAAGACTCGGACACAGAGGTTGTTCTGTTCTTTATAGGAAACAGGTGTTTATTCAGCAAATGTGACGACAATTCATTACATGGGAACGACAAAGCAGCCAATATAGAATCCCAACACTATTATATAAACTCTATCAAAATAGGTTCTTTTTTCATAAATCAGTTTGATGCATTTTGTTCTAATAAATCTAATACTCTCAAATATGCCATAAAAATGTAGAACCATCATTCAAATAGTTTTCTTCACACACCCTGCTCTATCATATCCCATCTGGTTCCCCCATCACGAACCAGTCCCCAGATCTTCACTCACTAATGCTGGTATTATATTTCTAAAACACGTTTTTGCAATGTAAAATATTTCAAAATTAGGTGTCACATTACAAAAAAACATTGCAAACAACTAAAAACGTAAAATAATCCCAACGTCATCTCTTGAAAAAAAGAAAACTGTTTCCAAAGTATAGCATAGCATGGGTGCTGATTTAAACATCTTAAAAGTGAAGGTGTTAGTATGTAATATTTCAGTTCTAGAGGTCTGTTTGTTTGTAAAAATACATTTTGAGGGACATGAGGTAAATGGTCAAGGTGCACAAGTCATAGTTAAAATATGTATAATGAAATATAACATGTGTTGATAACCACTACATACATACTCCAGCTTCATTACACCCCAACAAAAATGACTGAGAAAAAGTACTATATATTTGGTTCAGAATGAAAATCTGATCTGACACTCTTGAATAAGTATCTGAAGTTTCCGATTCATTAGTACAGCGTTGCGAGATGGATGTTCATGCAAAAAGTCCCAATGACGAGCAGATAAGGGCAGGACTAGGTTACAGTGACTTATGAAACGTGTCCGAACTGACAAATAAACAAGTTATGAAACAAACAATACTGGTTCAGTAGACAATATAACAAACAGTGCAGGAGCTTCCTTACTGTTTCAACCTCAAAAAATGACATCTTTTACTTCAATGCCCCACTACATGAAGACCAGAGAGCCTCTAAATAGTCATGTCACATTGATTTTCTAGAAAGTTTAACCAGAGTCCATGTCAATGTTTCAACAACAACATTTTCACTCCTCAAACAAAGTTGCATGACCAGTTATTAATTTAATGAAAATACTAACGGCAGTGCCATTATATCCCTGTTCCTACACCCAACAGGCAGAATAGATCAACCTTTGTTAAAAAATCAAAGATTCCAATGAAACTGTGTGTCAAACTGAACAAGAGAATCAAATTTAACAAGAAGACAAAGTCATCAATATCCCCCGCAATGGCAACATACTCTTCATGATTATGTCTACGAGTTATGATTATGTCAAATATTTAGGTGTGTATATAGAAAAGTGGAAGGAGAGTATTGAAAGGTTTTTAAAGTTCTGGTCCCAGAAAGGAGCACTATCACCAATTTCAGTGAAACTTATTGCCATGGAAATGCCAAAAATATTTTATTCAGAAATCCAAAACTACCAAAAGGCACCAGTACACCACCAGATCTATCTATGTGCCAAGTTTGGTGAAGAAACATTGAACGGTTTTAGAGTTCAGCTCCGGAAAAGAGCACTACGACAATTTCAGGCTAAGTCAAACTTGCTGCCATGGAAACGCCAAAAATATTTAATTAAAAATTCCAAAACTACCAAAAGGCACCAGTACACCACCAGATCCATGTATGTGCCAAGTTTGGTGAAGAAATATTGAATATTTGGTGAAGAAATATTGCTCCGGAAAAGACAAATGTGCACGGACGGACGGACTGAGTCCATTTTAATACCCCCCGCAAAACGCGTTCCGGGGGATAATAAGAATGCTGTCATCTGGTTGCTCTAGAACCAACGCAGGTTTCAAAGACATTGACACACATCCCACCCCTCCACCCAGTACTTTTCATGATTCACCACTTGACAGTTGTGAGTAGCTGTGAGAACCCTGCACCATTCTTTCACGTCTCCTCTCCCATGCCACTTCAGCTTGACAACACACTTTAGCCAGAAGGCTACCTGGTCACTGTACTGAACAGACCTGACACAATCATATGCCTTATAGAATACCATCACATTCACACAAATGTATCATAATGTTTTATTCTAACCAAGTTAAGTGCTAAGAATAACATTTGTAAACCCATAAAAAAACAAAAAGTGTTGTCTGAGCTCAACATTAAAGTCAGCTGCACATATTGGGGCAGTTCACAGCAAGCCCAGCCTCAGGTATATTCTTGCATGGGTATTTTTCAAAAGCCATTGTTCATCACTATCAAGGAATACATTAACATATCTCTAAACACAAAGAAATATAATAAATAAAAATTCAACAGTGAACATATCAAAAGATTCTCACGAGTGTATCATTAAAACAAATAATATAAACATTTGATCTCAATAAATAGATACAAGTGATGTGCTTTCATTGCTACTAGTGAGCATACAACTTACACCATACTGTCAGTACATAAACAGAAAATGTCAACACATCCCAGGGTTTTAACAAGCACTTGGCAAAATTATTTCCAGAGTCAAAGCAAGAGTTCAACTTTTGATCCACAACATATCAATAAAACATAATAATATTATGTTGATTGAAAAACATTCATTTTGTTTCCTGGGATTATTTTTTTTCAAATGGAAACATAGCTCTCACAACAGGTATATGAACACAAACACCTAACAAGCCCGTCTAGTTGGATATATGCAAAACATACTGAAAAATACAATTCAAAGATGCAGAAATCCCATGCCTGTCTTGCCAAGCTGACAAGAACAGTTGTTGTAAATGGTAAGTTATACTTAACTTACTGTTATGACTATCTTTCTTGACATTTTTTAATTATGAAACAGGGCCCTACATTATACTAACATTTAGTCTTAGAAATAAAGTTGTCTTACTGAAAAATATATATCTACAAAATATACAAAATACAATAAAACTGGGCCGAGAACAAAGCAAACTTAACAGCCGGGGCAACCTCGACTATATTTTCACATTTTGCTCCTGTTATAAATAAGACAAATTTTAGCATATACTATTATATGGGGCACAGTGGGCGAGCTGGCTAAGGCGCCAGGCTAGTGATCAAGCGAGGTTGAGGTGTCGGAACGAGCCCACACGTGACCGGGTGTAAAAACCTTGGAGTCAACTTTGTGTGAGTCAACTTTGTGTGCAGACTCTTTCAGTGTTGTCACAACCCCTAGTGTACAGTACACAACCCTGTGCACTTAAAAGAACCCACGAATCCGTTGGTATTTGACCAGATGGTGGCCACATGAATACGTGCAAACACCTAGTTGCGGGTACAGCAACGTGCAGTGAACATGGACAAAGTACTGTGACTATGTGTCCCAGTCCACCCAGCTGTGAATGGGTACCTTGTTAGGATGAGAAAGCCACAATAACTCAGTGCGCCTAGTGGCTGCAAGAGTTGTATACTCCCCAGGGAGTTTAGATTGATAATGCGATGTGCCGTTGAGATTGACATCCAATGATCAAGGGAAAAAATACCAGCGCCTTGAGCATGCACTAGTGCGTGGATATGTGTGCTATATAAATATCCTATAATAATAAAAAATTAAAAATACTATAAAGGGCATCTCTGTGCAGGCCATCTGGAAGCAGCCTTTTATTACTTACATCAGGCAGCAAAGATTGGGCGAGGCAGCACCTGTGATGGGCAGCAAATCAATAGTGTTACACAATGATTTAAGACGAATCATGATTTTGCCAGGGAAACAATTCTTCACCAGATTTGGTAAGGGAAGGGTGGTGTCCGAGAAGAGGCATTCATTGTACATGACAAGCAAACCGATTTGTGGTTGTGAAGGGACATTTTGACTGGTGATATGCTTTCTGTAATTCCATTCACTAGAAACATGACCAAAAGATTTAAACCGCAGGACAACAATGTCAGTCCGTTGTTTAAGTCAGCAGTATAACAGTGAATATTGTACATCATCCGTGCATTGAACACTTCAAAACATGGCCTTCACAATCTGTATGGTCATTGGTGTCCACGTTTTACTATCTTTCTACAAGGTGACCAAATTGTCACCACTGCATCGATGTTTGCAATGTCCGACATACCTCATGGAGAGAGTGAGTGAGTTTAGTTTTACGCCGCTTTTAGCAATTTTCCAGCAATATCACGGCAGGTGACACCACAAATGGGTTTCACACACTGCACCCATGTAGGGAATTGAACCTGGGTCTTTGGCGTGAGAAGCAAATGCTTTAACCACTGGGCTACCCAACCTCCCCCCCTCATGGAGAGAAATTTGCACGAATATTGCTGGTGTTGAAAACACAACCACTTTCAAGCTTCTGCAAGTCTTTGTACAATCCATTCTTATTGTTGAGACCGAACTGAGAATGTTTCATCTCACTGACTGACTTGTCATCACTGCTAAAATGTGACTTGTCACTGATTTGTCATTTCACTTGTGTTTACAGTTTGAAGGATTTCCTTGTCAGTATTTGACACACAAATGTTGCAGTTAAAGCATACAGATCACTTCTATAAATAAATGGCAAGGACAGTGAGCAGATGCAAACATTTGAAATACCAACTTTGACAGACATCCTGCACTTAACATCTAATACAGTAGGATACACTGTTTGGTCAATTGTTTAAATAAATACTGCACTGATGACTGAATGCTTCCAACTTACTTCTGGTTATGTGCCTCTTGGTTACAGAGCTGTGCATGCATACAGCATCCTTTATCAACATAAAAAGTAAACTGATACAAAATGTTGGGAACGGTATTCTTAAAAAAACATTTCACAGGTAATCATATATTTAACAAGATGTCCATTGTTATTTTTCCCCTTCATCACTGCTAGCTTTCTCCTCACTTGTAACACCATTTTGTGAGAATCCGTTCAGTTGATCTCGAGCCTTCAGTTTCATGGAGGCCAAGTTAGAATAAGGAGAAGCAACTCTGGACGGCACATCGATGTGTTCATGTTTGTACTCCATTAACATGTTGTTCACTGGGGACAGTCCTATACAAGCTCGAAAGATGTTCTCAATACAAGCTCTCTGTCGGAACAAAGCATTCACCAGAGGGGTTCCTCGCGGCACCAGCGGAGCCTTGCACAGGAAACTGAGGATGGAGAGAACGGCATTGAAGTTCTGGAACTCTGTCTGTCCTTCCACTTTGAACTGGATACGCTCACATATTTCTGCTAAAACAATGAGGTCAATGATGAGAGGTGTGGCAAGCAGCGAGTCTTCGCAGGTATTGTGGATGACGATGGTGTTTGTGCCGCCCATCATAATTTCAGACGTGTACTCGTCCATTGCTCGTTTGCTGTCTCCCACGTATGGCACGTACTTGATTACAACTGTGTGGTCTGGCTTTTCCTCCTCATCATACAGCAGACGGTTAGACTGAACCATGTCGTCCACAACGTTACTCTTGGAGATCTGGAACCAAGAGATAACATGGAGTGGCCGTGCTACAGACTTGCCCAATTCTCATTTTCTATTATACATTGATACTACCCATCAAAAGTTTAGACTCACTTAAAGCACTCACTATATATTATGTATATATATGTGGTTACATCGAAGATGAATTTCTCCACTAACCTAGGGGAACCAACTGCAAACCTTATGCAGATGAATTGCATGAGGATCATGCATCAAATTGCTGAAAAGCATGTCCAAATATCATGCATGTGAACAGCTGCATTTTGGTGTAAAGTTTTGTTAGGAATTCGCCAAGTTTCACTGAGTTTCATCATTTATTGAACTCATGACAATAATCTTTTCATCGTTACGAATTTGTTTTTACAATACACAATACAATCAGTACCTATGTAAACAGTACCTTTAAACAGTATGGAATATTTTGCAAAATCTAGTTTAGAACAGTTGACTGAAGCAAGTGGCTAAATTTACTTTAGTGAGTTTTTTGATGGGTAGTATACATGCACTTCATAACACTACTGCACTTCTCAATCCTCCCATCTACATTATCTGAGCAACTACCGATTCCCCATACATACATCCTGGGCAAGGAGGCACAGGGGTTCAAAATTTTTTAAAAAGCCACTTGCCACAGGGCAAGTGACTTTAAGAAAGTAACCTGTCCTTACTAATTTTCCACTTGCCCTGATTTTATGACATAATCATGATGATGTAACTATGAAAGAATAAATCAACATGGTATTTGATGTTAATGTTTACTGGACTATTTATTGAAAAGTGATAAATAGCAAAGAAAGATAACTCTACTTTATTATCATTGCAAAATTTAATAGCTACATTTTGAGCAGATATGAAATTAAATCCAAGTTTATTTGCAGTTTGAAACCATAAGTGGAAATTATTTAGTAGCCCATGGACAAGTAAGATACCATTATTTATTGCCCGAAATGAAAACTGACTTGTCGGGGCCGGGCGATGGGATTTTTGAAGCCCTGAGGCAGGTATTATATTTCATCAAATATAAGGGATTAGCATAAATAAGGGAATATCCAGTAAGGGAGCTACTGGCCATGAGGCTGAATGAGGTTGTGTTAGACTTGGAGCATTAGTCCAGCTGCATGGGCACAGGAGAATACTGTTACCATGTAGCCAGCAAAACCATGGTACTCGGTGAGATCAGTCCATGTTTTAAATGCTGGTAATCTGAAGCAAAATCTACTGGTAAGAACTAATATCACATTTACCAAATCAGTAAATAGACTGACATTTTCCAACTCTGTATAAAAAACACAATTGGGATTAAGTTTTCATCTTGCATACATGTTTCTGCATCATTGTACAGTCTATTGGTGCATCATGTTGATAGTCTGGACCTGGGAGGTCACTGAACACAACAATTCATTGCAGAAAATGTTAAAAAAATAAACTACATTCAGGTCATCCCCCAAAATAATTGTTTGCTGGAGGTGAGGTGAAATTGGGTTTAACGTCATTCGTGAGAATATTTCGTAAATATGATGACGTGCATGTGTGTATGTGTAGGTGCGGCTGCATGTACTAGCCCAGACTGAAACTGGTTTTATAGAGCTAGCCCACTGAGATACCATGCCACAGTGAAGCATGAATACCCCACTCAGGCACATCATACTGACTCCGAGCCGACCAGTATCAGAAGACACAAGCGTGAGATTCTATTTCTCATAAAAAATCACTCTTCACAACACGGAACTGCCATTAGACTTGCAGTATAGCAAATGTCATAGCATTGTGACGCCATCAAGTTCATGACATCATAGCATTGTCAGGCCACAGTACAAAATCTTCTCACAAAACAATATCTCCTAGGAGATATCTCCATTGGAACACAGTTTTGGATGATAAACTTCAATCAAAAATCTCTTCTCTTTCCCTACCCGACAACCCCTTCACCCACCTGCTAAGACAAAAACATCACTAAAAGGTCAAAATAAGAAGGAACTATTACCTCTTTAGACCTGAATGTATCGGAGCAGACAGGTTTTTGCCGTCATTGTTGCCCAGGTGGTTGTAGCTGACGATGGAGACAGGCTTAATCCCTGCACTTACCAAGAAGTCAACCAGTACTGACTTGAGCTTTGTCTGGCCAGACTTAAAGTCATCCCCAGCGATATAAACCCTCTTCTTCTCTGCCAGTTCCACCACCCCAGGAACAAAAGTGTTCTGTGGGGAGCCGTTGATGTACGTGACACCCTCTAAAATGGACGCCACAGCGAAAAGGGTGGATGGAGAGATTTCACCTGCATTGTTCCGTATGCTGTTGAGGAGATTCTCTGTCGTGTCGTTAAGACCTGGGCGGATGTCACAAAAACGTTCCGTGTTGGCTGTCCATAATACAATGACTTTATCAACTCCGCTACTGTCTTTAAAGCTTCGGATGTCCTGGCGGATCTGGTCCACGAGTTCTTGTTTGGTTCCAGAAAGGACATTGTCTGCACGGTCCATCTGGTTGGCTGCAATAAAATCTGGGATGTAGATGGAGGGTCGGGGTTTGTACTTCTCCATGTGTGGGCGAAGTTGTGTCTGAAGGTTGTAATCCAGGACCTTGGCTCGTGCCATGGCGTCGGACAGATTCATAGAAGATATGTCCCAACCTGAAGACGAAAAGAAAATTGTCACTCGCACTTGTATTAACAGGAATCACTTGTCAAATTATACAGAAAAAATTCCTACGAATATTTGCAAAATCCATTTTCCCTTACCAATGAAAGATATTTCCCATATTTTGCAGTGATTGTGCTACAGACAAGTGACACAGGGCCATTTCAGTGATTTCATAAACCTTTGATTGAACATTTCTCCAAATAATTCCCTAATTTCAAAGAAATCTTAAGGACAATTTACTGACAATCAGTCAAAGTACAAGAAATAAATCTGAAAGGCTGGTTTTGAATTATGCACAACTTAGTACGTTACTAAAGCATTGCACCTACCATCAAAGACAATGTCATTAGGGTTGAGCATAGGCATGAGTTGGCTGAGTGGGACATACACCTCCCCCTGTGGTCCTGTCCCCAGACACACTGTGCTGGCCTGGGTGATGGACCCGAAGTAGTTAGCCAGTCTTAGGCCATCCTTTGTGTGCCAGCTGAGACCCAGCCTGTTGGCGATGGTGGCTGCAACCACAGTACTGCCATTGTTTCCTCCTATGCCGACCAGCATCACCCCAACTTTGGGCACCTGCCTCTTGGTCCGGAATGTGTATTGGGTGGAGACAGGCATGGCCACATACTGGTTCCCCTTCAGCTCCACGCTGGTTGTGTCGTAGCTGTATTGACTCTCTATGTACTTGTCCGAGTACTTCACTCTTGGGCTGTCAACCTGCACTGTTTTAGCAGCCATCTTGTGCTGTAAGAATTTGTTTATCTGTGTGAAAAAACCAGAATGTGATAAATGATCTGTTCTTCACTAGTATTCTTGCAGTCCTAGAAGGTGCCTTCAACTTCATGAAATTGAACTGGATTGGTTGTTAAATTAGAGACCGTTCATAATTTAAGGCTAGGGGTGATGATGATTTTTATGGAGAAGCATGTACAATGTCAATGACCCCCCCTAAAATTTATGTACAAAATAAGTGACCCCCCTGCATGTCATGTACAAAATCAATGACAGACTATGACTGAGGTAAACAAGAGTCATCAGAAGATGACATATCCCCCCGGCCTCCACATCTTTGAAAGAACAAATCATCTGACAGTTACTTAAAGTCCAGCTTGATTTTAGACTGAGTGCAAATCGTTTCCATGGAAATCATGAAAAAAATAAATGACAAAAATCTGCAAATAGCAAAAGGCACCACTTTGGGATCTGCCTCACATATCTGCCAAGTTTTGCTGAAAGATATTAAGAAGTTTTCACATTGTGCTCCGGAAACAAAACCTACCCCTTCCTTTTGAGACTAAGTCCAAATTGTTTCCATGGAAACTGAGAAAATAATAAATCACAAATATCTGCAAATAGCAAAAGGCACCACTTTGGGATCTGCCTCACATATCTGCCAAGTTTTGCTGAAAGATATTAAGAAGTTTTCCAGTTGTGCTCCGGAAATGAAACCCATCCCTTCCTTTTTGAGACTAAGTCCGAATCATTTCCATGAAAACCGAGAAAATAATAAATCACAAATATCTGCAAATAGCAAAAGGCACCACTTTGGGATCTGCCTCACATATCTGCCAAGTTTTGCTGAAAGATATAGAGAAGTTTTTGAGTTGTGCTCCGGAAACGAAGCCCACCCCTCACTTTTGGGACTAAGTCCGAATTGTTTCCAAGGAAACCGGGAAAAATAAAAATGCCAAAAATCTGCAAATAGCAAAAGGCACAACTTTAGGATGTGTTTGATATATCTACCAAGTTTTGTTGAAAAATATTATACGGTTTTTGAGTTGTGCTCCGGAAACGAAAGCAATCCTTACTTTTTCAGACTAAGTCCAAAATGTTTCCAAGGAAACCGGGAAAAATACAAATGCCAAAAATCTGCAAATAGCAAAAGGCACCACTTAAGGTTCTGTTTCATACATCTACCAAGTTTTGTTGAAAAATATTGAATGGTTCTTGAGTTATGCTCCGGAAACGAAGCCCACCCCTCACTTTTGCAACTAAGTCCGAATTTTTTCCCTGGAAACCCGGAAAAGTAAAAATGCTAAAAATCTGCAAATAGCAAAAGGCACCACTTAAGGTTGTGTTTGATATATCTACAAAGTCTTGTTGAAAAATATTGAATGGTTCTTGAGTTATGCTCCGGAAACGAAACCCACCCCTTCCTTTTGAGACTAAGTCTGAATCATTTCCATGGAAACCAAAAAAATAATAAATCACAAATATCTGCAAATAGCAAAAGGCACCACTTTGGGATCTGTCTAACATATCTGCCAAGTTTTGCTGAAAGACATTGAGAAGTTTTCGAGTTGTGCTCCGGAAACGAAGCCCACCCCTCACTTTTGGGACTAAGTCCGAATCGTTTCCATGGAAACCGGGAAAAATAAACATGCCAAAAATCTGCAAATAGCAAAAGGCACAACTCTAGGATCTGTTTGATATATTTACCAAGTTTTGTTGAAAAATATTGAACGGTTCTTGAGTTATGCTCCGGAAACAAAGCCCACCCCTCACTTTTGGGACTAAGTCCGAATCGTTTCCATGGAAACCAAGAAAAATAAAAATGCCAAAAATCTGCAAATAGCAAAAGGCACCACTTTAGGATCTGTTTGATATATCTACCAAGTTTTGTTAAAAAATACTGAACGGTTCTTGAGTTATGCTCCGGAAACGAAGCCTACCCTTCTTTAAGACTAAGCCCAAAACGTTTCCATGGAAACCGAGAAAAATAAAAATGACAATAATCTGTAAATAGCAAAAGGCACCACCTTAGGTTATGTTTGACATATCTCCAAATTTTGGTTAAAAAATATCGAACAGTCTTTGAGTTATGCTCCGGAAACAAAATGATTACGGATGGACGGACAGACGGTGGGATAAAGACGAGGCGACGACTATATCCCACCGCATTACATGCCGGTGGGATAAAAACACAGATTGGATCAGTCATCATACCATCTATGCATCACAATATCCGAAAAAGCCTACACTGCTGGGATACTTTGTTACAACCTGACAAGAACAACTGGGGATATTTTTAAATAGCGGGCATCTGATGGGCATCCACCATTCTTATTGTCTCATTGTGAAGGTGGACAGCTGCCACCTCACAGTCGAGGGAGCAGGGACTGACCACCTAACAGCTATAGCTGACACAAGTAGACTGTTGGCGCGAAACATGGATCGCTGTGGACCAGTGCCCCTTTAAGAAACTAATATTGGATATACAAGTGACGCTTATTTTGTTGAAGAAAGTGAAGAATGTTTCAGTAATTGAGAATATTTTCTTAATGAGTCACTTACAACAAACCAAAAAGTAGTACTAGTAGATCTTTCAAACTCTGAAGAAGAAATTAACATATATTTTAACTGAAACATGATCTAAACTACACCACTGATGGAGAACTGTTTCATTAAAAAAAATGACTACATATCTAACATCATTCTCGGATAAACAGGGATGTAGAAGAGTACTTTTAAATTCGGAAATTTACAATGAACATACAAAAGCTTTACTAAAGACCAATGAAGGGGGATTTAAATAAATTAAATTGTATGTGGACATTCTTCAGTGTGTGTGTTGGGTTTTACGCCACTTTTAGCAATATTCCAGCAATATCATGGCGGGGGACACCACATTCTTCAGTAGTTGATTTAGATGGTGTCATTTTGAAAACATTTGGTCTCCTGCTTATTTGTGTGACAGGTGACTCATGAGTCGTCTGCTATATTTGTGCCAGCTGATTCAAACCGAGTCACACTTTGTGACGACAAATTAGTTACACGTAACAATATCTTGCCCCACTGCGTAGGTGGCAACGCATTTTTATTTGATGTCGTATTTATAAAATGTGGGGCAAATACACCTGTGTTGTTACCGTTGCTAAATATACCTGTCGAGTAAAAGAAATAACTGATATACACACATCCATCGCCACCAATCAACTACAACGTATTGACAAGGGAAGTAACTCTTATGACCTTCATATCTTCCACGTGCAAGTGATTCCGATATTACCGGTCCGCAAGAGAAATTCACACTTCAGACGTTCGATGGGCAAGAAATCGGATACGTTATATTGCGGGTTGAAGCACAGCCAACCTGCTTACTTATGTGCCTACAAATACTCGGTCCTGATCATTCGGGAGGAATACATGGATGAAGCTGATTCTCTCAACGAGAACAGCAGCAGTCGCTACACGTGCACTCTACGATGACAAATCAGTTTGCAATCGCTCGCCGAATACTTACCCAAGAATTATTGTATGTTTGGGCTCGCGGTGGAGGGTTGGCTCTATAAACAAGTTTGTTAACAAGCTGACACCACAGGTTCTCAGATTTGTTCGCATCCCGGTGCATTCGCCTGAATGGCTTTATATATATAGCGTGACCGGCAATGGTGCAATTTGATTGGCCAGCAACTCAGAGCGCCCACGTCACCTAAATGGATGAGAGACAACATGTCGAGAAAATTCGAAAACACGCGATGATCAGAACACACAGGAGGTCACTGCCGTTTGTGTGTTGTCACGTGGAAAGCTACAAATACATTTTATACTAATTAATACTCAATCGATTGCTTTCCTGAAGGAAAGAGTAAAATTGAAAATGAATTTCGCCTTGGTTTAAAGAACTCGTATAACTACAATATGGATTATTCCTTTTAAGGTTTGCATAGCTGTCAATCAAAAATGTATCTAAGGAAGCTTCTGCAAGTTAATACATATGATATTACTCTTTACAATTGCATTGATAAAAACAGACAAAATATTAAAGAGAGGTAATGCTTTAGGTTTAAGCTCCAAGCAATCGGACGCAGTGAAAACATCATAATAGCGCTATCTAAAGCGCGTTTACGAAAGAATGTGAGATTTAGTATACTGGCCGTGAGAACGGGATTTTCATTTAGAGAATGTGAGACTTACCGCCAAAACGCGAGATTTGAAAGGTTTGTAACAGTTGGTTTGTTGTTTAACGCCGCACTCAGCAATATTCCAGCTATATGGCGGCGGTCTGTTAATAATCGAGTCGGGACCAGACAATCCAGTGATCAACAGCATGAGCATCCATCTACGCAATTGGGATACGATGACATGTGTCAACCCAGTCAGCGAGCCTCTAATGACAAGCATGGGATGCTGAAGATCACTCCTAACCTGGATCGTCACGGGTATCCCTTTTTAATAGTTTACATTCTTTAAACAAATGCTTTTTCTGTTATAACAATTCTATTCTATTTAATCGGTTCTTTTTAAAAGTATACCCATTGTCATGTATTTTTTGTGGTATTTTGGTATGGCTGATTAAATAGTCTAAGGTGATAGATTTTGCTGTCCACAGTTGGTTCGAATCCCGTAATAAACTCCCGATAGTTACACTTGGTTTACTAGGGCCATACGTGGTCGTGGGTTTTGTTAAAATTTTCACATTGATGAATATTTTGGTGAAGACTAGCACACACGCACGCGCACGCACGCGCACACACACACAAACCCCACACACCGCACACATGCAAACACCCACGTAGTCATACTATATAGTGCATCCGTACTTACCTTCTCCATAAAACATACTTCACCTCGACGATATATTTATATTAAGGTATACAATCACCAGCGTCGCTTATACCCCGGCACATTTAACCGCTAATTGTTACTCCATGTGGAGCAACGTTAATCTGTTTGATGACAAAAAATACACCCTGTGGAAACATATTCACACCGTCACCGGTTCAAAATGCTTTCAAGATAGTTCTGACGTTTTCATTGATCGTTTAGTCACATTCGACTATGGATTGAGATCACTGGGTTGGCTAGACAGCGACCCCTTATCGGCAGTCGCTGTATTTCACATGTGGGACCAGCTGAAGTAGTTGTTAGGTAATATATCTTTCGGAAGACGAGCTCATGTAACGGAACAATATTTGAAATTAATAATATCTATTTGGGAGTAATGGTTACTCGGCTGTTCTGAGTAACAACTCTCTCGAACCACACGACAATTCACAACATTGGGGCATGCGTGTGTCTACTTATCATATGATAGATGTTACCATAGCAGACATATGAAGTTGAACTTCAAAATGTTTGATTTGTCATCATAATAATCACAATGGAAATATTAAAGGGTAAAAAAGATTACTATATTTTCCTTTAAATTCTAAGAGGAAACTCTATTCCATCTTCGTTGATTTATGTAAGGGTGCGCCCTTGTACTACCAATGGCGCTTGCGGGTGGCGCAGCGGAGATCCCAACCTAGTCAAGAATTCTGAGATATCATCCGGGTACTCGCGTGAAAACGGCAATAACAAAAGCAACAACAAGTCCCTGGGATTTGCTCTAGATCGTTGTCCCTTTAAAACTTGCGGTAGATTAGCATACGATAACCATGTTGCTTGAGGAACTGTGGTGTAGCCAAATGGTTAAAGCGTTTGCTCGTCAGGCTGAAGACCCGGGTTCAATTCCCCACATGGGTACAATGTGTGAAGCCCATTTCTGGTGTCCTCCGCCGTGATCTTGCTGGAATATTGCTAAATCGGCGTAAAACTAAACTGACCCACCCACTATGTTGTATGAATAATGCGCAAATCTCTAGACAATTCGACCTAATATCAATAGCACACTGAAAACATTAGGTGTTTAGAGTGTTAATGTTTTACATATGACGTGTTTACATTTTATACACATCACTGCTCATGAACTATACGACTTGCGTTTAGTTAGATCGCTTACATCTGTTTAATAACTCAGTGTTTAAAATTTAAACACTGATAACTTGTAATGTAAGAGAGCACTAAAACACACATAATGTGAAGAACCTGCTAGGTAAAATGAGTCTGCACGCAATGTTTTAACCTTTTGATGACACAGTAGGTTATTATACGCAATTTATCTGTTTATTGTTATAGTTCTGCTGTTAGTGGCCTTCTCACACACGTCAAACGTTGCTTGCTGACCGTTTTAGTAATACCTCTAACTAATAAAGACATCTAAAGCCTTACTGCTTCAGCACTTATATGATCACCTAAGTTAAATAAGAACATGGAATGTGTGTATATTAAACACAGATGTTTAGATCTACCCTCGCTGTCTATACACATTTATTTAATTGTGTTTAGTCGGAATTTTACGATGTCATGTAATATAATGCATATTGGCTAGACTCGGCGCACTCACCGGAAGGAGCTCTGGGTAGGACCGTGGTCAATGACGTCATTACTTATGACGTCATGCTTGCACGCCATTTTGTTTCTCCCGACGTCTTGCAATGGTTGCAATGGTTGCTATTTGTCCTTTTATCAAATATTGTTCATAGGTATAGTGATATCATACCACGCTGAAAGTGTCTTAATCCCGTCAGTCTTTGTGTCGAGATGGACTGTTCCATGTGTTATTTTCATTGTGACAGTGACAGGCAATATTTGAAACACATCATACGAAACCACAAAAATGATCCACATTTCTTTGTGTCTTGTAAACTGTACATGGAATGACTGTTGTTACACCACAAAGAGGATGACAGCATTTCGCAAACATGTTTTCAGAAAGCATTCACAGAATGAAATGCAGAATGTTGATGTTAACGACTCCGAGTGCGAGTCCGAGTCCGAGTCCGAGACTATGATACCTGAGCCAGACATACCTTACTCACATTCTACTCTATCAGACAAATGTTACACTGAACTAAGTTTTGTAATGTCCCTACAGGCAAAGCATAATCTATCAGACAAAGAAGTAGATGCCGTTATTGGTGAGACGTACCATCTTTTGGAAGATAATGACAAGCATACCATGGAGAAGGCTAAAGAATGCTTGGTTCAGCATGGCGTCAATGACACAATCTTAGACACTATTGAAAATGACATGCATTTTGAGGCACTAACAAATCAGCATAGTAGGGACAAATCTTATAAAGAACATTGCAGATTGACACACTCAGAAAGGGTCTATTTACGCACTACTACATCTGTGAAACGGTGCAGGATGTTAGGAGAACCAAGATATGGTTATATTTTTACCTTTCAAAAACAACTGAATACACTCCTTGAATTACCAGACATTTGGAAATGGCAACAACAATCGCATGTGTCCAAATCAGATATAATGTATGACATATGCGACGGCTTATTTTTGAAAACACACCCACTGCTTAGTAAAAAACGAATGCATTGCAGATTGTTTTGTACACAGATGACATTGAACTTACCAATCCTATCGGAACGCATGTGAAACACAAAATTACAGTTTTTTACTTCTCATTGGGAAATATTCCACCACAATTTCGATCACAACTGCACACAATTTGGTTAGATGGCATGGGTAAAACAGTGCATCTTCGCAAATGTGGACTGGGAAAACTTCTCAGAGATTTTCTTGAGTGTGTTACCAAACTAGAAAATAGGGGCATTGAAATGACAATAAATGGATCTGTTCACAATATTGAAGGATCATTAATTATGATTCAAGGACATACTCCCCCATCAAACTTGCTAGGCGGGTTTAAAGAGGGTGTGTCTTTTGCTGAAAAGCCCTGTCGTTCATGCGAGGCCACCAATGGAAACATGAAAAAATCTTTTTTGCATTCAGGGTTCGAGCCAAGAAATGTACAGCGATATTTAGAAAGATGCCACGATTTAGAAACCTTGCCATCAAAGGGAACAAAATAGTATTGGAGCAAACATTGGGGTATCAATCAGAGAAGCTGCCTTTGTTCTGTTCCTAATCACCCTTTGGTACTGACACTTGTCCGTGACCCTATGCACCTGTTGTTAGAAGATGTCGTTAAGTATGAATTGCAGCTGTTTTTGCATCATGCAATAGTTGTGAAAAAGTACTTCACTTTGAACTGGCTAAGTATGAAAATCCAATCATTTCCATTCACCTACCTCGACACAGAAAATCCAGAAACATTGTTTCACAAAGATTTGCTGATTGAAACAAAGCTTAAGCAAACCGCTGCACCGGTGCTTACATTGTGCTCAATATTACCGTTTATTATTGGCGCACAGGTACCCTCCCAAGACATGAAATGGTATTGTCTCTTGAGCCTTTTCACAATAACACATTGTAACAAGTCCATACACAGGTTTGAATGCTATTGCCAGATTAGAACAACATTCTATGTTCATTCAACAATATCCAAAAGCATCTTTCACCCCCAAATTCCACTTCATGGTACACCTACCCAATCAGATGAAAATGTTCGGACCCGGAAGAAGCCAGTGGTGTATGCGTTTTGAAGCTAGGCATGCTTTCTATAAGAACCTAAAGCTGATATATTTCAAAGAATGTTTTACCGACGCTTGTGAAAAAACACCAGGTAATGATGTCATACATGCAGCTTGGGTTTCTAGGTCACCCAACTAACAATTTCCTGTACATGGGAGATGATGTTGGTAAAGGAGATCAGGTTGTACTAAAGATACGATATCCACAGTTTGAGATAGCCTGCCAACACGCCAAGGCACACAGAGATATATTCTAT